AGAAAGTAGATCAGTATCTTGGCAGTGACATCTAGTACCTTTCATTATCTGGGTAGTCAATTCTAGTATCCTCTTGACATCAGGCTCTGGGTGTCAACACTGAAAACATTAGTGGAGTAAATTTTGTCCAATGTCACTGAAACTACAGAACCCATGCCCTCCTTTACGTATAGTCCTTGCACCCCTCATTTCAATTGCTGAGGTATGTGGGCGGGATGAAGTCAACAAAGCAAGCCTGGAAACTGCCTATATCTATAGCCAAATATTTGCTGCTAAAGGTTTTGGGAGGGTGAACGTTCTATCTTTAATATATATAAACTTTCTTTGCCACATACTAGAATACACACCCTTTGTGCTTAAGCACCCACCAAACTCTAATGGCCCTGTGCCATTTTTCTCAGGTATAGTTATTTTCTTTATCCCTTCCAGACTTAAATGTTTTTTTCTATATCTACCCTTCTTCTTTCTGCCTTCCTGTTATACATAACCAACTCATTTACCTCCTGCTAAGAGTTGTGAGTAATTTAGTAATTAAAATAAAGACTTATTTTAATGCTATCACATTGAAACATTTTAGTTAGTACTAAAAGGTCCTCCACATCCTCCCAAAAGACACTTTAAGGTATTTTTTCATTTATATGGAGTACAATTAACTTACTGTAGTAAAGCCTATAGAGCTGGAAAATACGGCAAAAGCTTCATTCACCTACTTTTAAAGATTTTATTTATTTATCTTTAGAGGGGAAGCGAAGGAGAGAGGGAGAGACATATCAATGTGTGGTTGCCTCTTGTGCATCCCCTGCTGGGAAGCAGCCTACAACCCAGGCATGTGCCCTGACTGAGAATCGAACTGTGATCCTTTGGTTCACAGGAACACACTCAATCCACTGAGCTATGCCGGCCAGGGCCATTCACCTACTTTTAGAGACCACTTTCCCAATATTAATGATTCACAAAAGACTTGTTGCTTTGTAGTTATTAGCATAATTGCTTGAAAAAATTCCAAGCTTAAAGCCACTGGGCATCTTCACACTCTCATTACATCACTGCGCACATTCATTATCACATGCATGCAAAGACGCCTCCCTATTCATATATAACAACATTTCCAGTGAATTGCTTGCAATCGAACTCCTTCCTTTCTCAGTCAAGAAAAAAAGTATAAGAAGAAAAGCAATAGACTCAGTTGAAAATATATTGGAAGATAAAAACTCATCATACCATGTTCAAAAAATTATTGAGATTGGTGACATGCCTGACACCAGACTTTTCAAAGAAATTGTCTCTCCTCCAAGTCGGCTATATATTGAGGAGTGTGATGGGAACACAAATTCCTGTTCATTTATTACTTCTTTAAAAAATTATAAATCATTAAGTAAGCAAATTGGTCATTGAGTCAATTGTTTTAACTGACAAATTATTATGTGAAATAACTTTAATGAATTTATCTAGAATCATTACAAAAGTTTTCTTTTGTTTATTTATTTTTTAATTTTTAAAGATTTTATTTACTTATCTTTAAAGGGAAAAGGAAGGAGATAGGGAGAGAAATATCAATGTATGGTTTCTCTCATGTGTCCCCTGCCAGGAACTGGCCTGCAACCCAGGCATGTACCCTGACTGGAAATCAGACTTGCAATACTCTGGTTTGCAGGCCCATACTCAATCCACTGAGCTACACCAGCCAGGGCTAAAAGTTATCTTTTAAATAATTTTAAAACTTATACCTTTCTTCCCCGATTTTCTTGCCTATAACTCTAATTTCATGCAATCTTCAGAGGATGAGGGAGATTCTCAGTAGATATACTAATGAGCTCATCGAAACAGTGAGGTCATTCATTGAGGAATACTTTCTAAGTAGCTAATGTAAAAGATTTTATTATGTACATAGGTGAAGAAAAGAGAGGAAATACTAAAATAAGTGATGAAAATTCAGCTCTTTACTGACTCAGAAGATGAACTATTCATATACTGGCTGACTTGAAAACAATTACAAACCATCCTATCAACGAGTTCACAATGACAGTGAGCGAGTGTAATGTGCGGACAGCTCTGACCTCCTGTTGGGTCATGCCAACAATCCATCCCTAATGTCCACACATGAAAAACAAAAGTCTTCTCTGGAAGGATTTCTTTTTCTTTCCAAGATAAACCTTTTTTCAATTTTCAAATCATATTCTCCCTATGCAAATCATTCTAAATTCTACAGGTATTTGTATACTTTCTGTTATATTACTCAGATAAGTCTGGTTTGATTTTAAATTCAGTAGGGAAAAAAATGAACTCAGTCATTTTATTTTCTAGCATAGATGCTAGAAATAGTTTAAAATATTTGTATGTGATGATTTCAAGCAATACATCAGGGATCAGATGTCGGTAAACATCTACTTTTGACATCCTTCGTGTATTCACAGAATGTCTGGTCCAAGTTAAAAGACCAGGTGACTAAGCAGCAAGCCAAATGAAGATCTACAGAGAATACAGGAGGCTTAAAAAAACTGTAATTTCAAAACATGGGTTTTCTAATTAAAATGCAGCCAACATTCCCAAGCACGCAAAAAAAAAAAAAAACCCTGACAGGCATTGGGTCTCGAGGATTTGGGCCTCTGACCTTGCACATAATTTTTCAAACATGCATTTCACTTACTTGGAAATACCTTAAATATAACCAAAACATTATAACAGGTCTTGAGCCCTGGAGAGTGAGTCCCAGAAGCGAGTGACACAGTCCTCCAGGGCAGAGACTATGTTTCCTCCACTGTTCTATGTAGCAGCAGCCTAAGGCTGATGGTCAATAAATAAATCAATAAAACATTCACATAATGACAAGCTTCCATGACTGGAGGGAGTTTTCGTTGAAGATATGAATAATATTTTACAAACACCGACAAGCAAAATAGTGCAATTATGTAGATAGACTTCCCTCAAATACTCGTTGATGTCAATGTAGTCAGACATGACCCAGTTCCACATATCCAGTCTTGAGTGTCTTTAGAGACTATTCAGAATTTAACTAATGTGCTGGATACATAATTTGCTCTATTTGAGCATCAGCATAGTAAGAATTAACAAAACAGAAATGCCTGTTTTTAACATACCCATTATACTCCAAGTTCACATCTGCTATCTTGGTCCCACTTTATATACTATATTTATGAGAAAAAGATTATATGTGTATATAATGCTGAATTTTTATATCCTTGAAATACAGGGCTGGAAGAGCCTTTAAAGATGTTCTAGTTCAGCCATCCAAGTCCAAATTCCTCCACATCATAGTCTAGACACAGAGATTCATTGCTGGACTGCGAGCAACATCCATATATTTTTGTTCTTCTTAAAGCAGGAGTCAGCAAAATGTTTCAGTAAAGGTCCAGAAAGTAAATATTTTAGGCTTTGTGGGCCATACAGTCTCTGTTGCAATGACTTCACTCTGCCTTACTAGTATAAAATAAGCCACAGACAATATATAAATGAGTCAGTGTGGCTGTGTTTCATTAAAATTCTATTTACAAAAATAGGCAGTGGGTCAGATTTGGGCGAACACTGGCCTAAACCATCTGCTGTGGTGCGTGGGGCATGGAGATAGATGGCAGAAAAAAGGCACATAGTGTGAAGAAAATGTTCACAATCAATACCAACAAAAGCTATGCCTGGCTTCTCAGTCCAAATGACTCAATGCTTTTTTAAATACTAATTTTTTAACCAAATACTTCTATTGGACCCTATTAACTAAAGATTACCCTTCCTACCCCTCCCCTCTTGCCAACCCAAATGAGCTAAAAGACAAAAGCTAGAAGGTATTCATGTGATCATATTCATGCTTCCTGCATATTCTTAAGGGCGACATTGAAAAACAGAATTAGATACTGGGTAATAAGGCAAGTATGTTATAACTTCGTCCTAAGAGGATGGTATCTGACCTCATGCAGATATAAGAGGTTATCCAGGAATATGGGATCAGGAAATGAAGGCAGAGTTCAACTCCAAATGTAAGATCATGTAGTGAAGCCCACGAAGGGCAACATGACCTGGTGTAAAGCCCATGGACCTTGGAGTAAGAACCATCAGGATTTAAATTATTTATGCAATTTAGTAATTCTGAGATATTGAACAGGTTTCTTAATTTTCTTGATCCTCTGGTGCCTCCTTTAGAAAATGAAGATAATATTTATTTTCCAGGATTATTATGAGGGTTACATGAGGTAAGTTCTGTGAAGCTCCCATCACAGTTTCTGGATGGGAGAATCCTGACATTCTCTAGGAAGAGAAGGATGAATGCTCTATTATGTCTGCTGATCACCATTCGAAAAATCTACAACCTGTGGGGTAAAATCTAAATTTCAAGGAAATGTTTTGCTTCCATATATGCAGGAAATAATGTCAATTGCTTTTGCCTTGTTAAGTAACAGTTATGATCAAGAACTTATAGAAAGGCATTGATCCGAGTATAGGAATTACCTGTTTCTTTAAATTTTGTTTTCCCTACAACCCTTTGGCTGTTCCATCAACTTTGGGGCCACAGTTAGTCACTTTGGTTTTTCTCAGGTGTGAACTTGTGGAGTCAATAAATAGAGATTCCAGAATATAGCCTAGTTGTATGCTAACCAGGTCCTCAAATGATTAGCAATCTGAGAAAATTCCAACTTGTTTCCCTTTGAAGGCAGCCATAAGACCACCCAGGAGTTTGCGATGCTCGAGAAAGTAGTGGCATGTTTACATAGGAATGTGAGCTGTATAGAACATGGAACACCTGTGCTCTGTGGTCTTCACAGCCCCAATTAGCTTCTGGAAAGAATTCAGGGTAGAAATCCTTAATGGGATGCCACAGAAAGTGCCTCAGTCCTGAGCACTAAAATAATTTCTTCAGCTCTGCTAGCTATATGTAAAACATACTCACTAATAACTACTTAGTTACCCAAGTGAGTGCCATAAAAGAATCCTGGACATTCAGAAAAGAGACTCAATTTATTTATAATAAGAACTTACAGTGTTGGTACAGGAAACGGATTTGGGGTTTAATATGAGAAAAGACTTTCAAAATCCAGAACCATTTAAATAAGGAATGGGTTGTCCTCTGGGCTAGCAAATTCTCTGCGGTTAGAAGTGATGATCTATTGGGGATATTGTGGAAAGTATTCCTGTAAAAATAAGGAAGAAATATTTGACTAAATTGTTTTATTCTTACATGTTTATTTAACAAGCATTTTTGGTACCTCCTATGAGCTAGCACTTTTTAAGTTCTGGCACACTGAAAAAGGTTAAGAATATAAAAATAAATATGCAGACATTTTGCCATTAAAAAACTTAAAGATGGGGGGAAACATAAGTACCAGTGATTACAATAGGGCACTGGTAGTATGATAAGGAAATGTTCAAAGGTGGGGCACTTAACTGAGAAGGTAATGAGGAGGGAAGGATTCCTGGAGCAGGTGGCACTGAGTCTCAAAGGGCACATTAATGTAGCAAGTTAGTCAGATAAAGGAAGGAGAGGGTCCCAGAAATGCAGTAATGCTTCAGTCAGTCTAGAGGATTGTCAGTGGTGGGTCACAGGGCTCTGTCATCAGCCCTATCCCATTCATTGTTGCAACAAATGTTGTACATGAAGAGCCCTGAATCAAATCTGTGATTAATGTGATGATGAGATAATATATAGTCCATTTCAACTGCAATGTTAAGATCAAAGAGGACACAGTAGGGACTCAATAAATAGTTACTGAATTGGTTACTCTTCATAGTGTGGTTATATGGGTGTAAAATATAGCAGATGGGAGATGTGGGCAAATAAAAACACATATAAAGAAAGAGGCAAGCTAACATCTGTTGATCTTATTGATGAGTTATGGGTGTCTGCTATTTTATCTTCTACATGTTTGACTACTTTTCAATTTTTAAAAACACTTTGGATTTTGGTAATATAATTCAAAAATGGGACATGGTTGTCAAAAACCCAAATGTAATTTTGGGGTAACAAGTCAGTATTTAGAACAATATGTGTGTCCGCCTCTCTATACTGTGCTGACCTAACTGCACATGGGCAGTTTGATCAGTTCTGGGATTTATACTTAAGGAGACATGTTTGGAGGAGAAATATGAGAGAGCGGGTGCCTCAAAATGAATATGAGAAACATTTGAAGGAATGTTGATGTCTCATGTGGAGCAGTCTCAAGAGTTCTAATAATTTTCTTTAAAGGATTTCATGAAGAAGATATTAGACTTGCCTTATGTAGCTTTAGTAAACAGGCCTACAGGGATGTTATGCCATATATGTGTTTAATGAACACAATTCAGTTATATGAAATCTGAGAGAATTATTTCTAAGGGAAACATATGGAGTGAGGCAAAAGTAGCTTTATAGTTGAGAGTACATGAAATACAGTTTATATTATTATTTATTATATTATTTTCCATATAAACAACCATAAAAGTACTTTTGCCTCACCCTGTACAATCTAAACAGCTGGCTCCTTCACTGAGTCTACTTTATAGATATAACTATGTCACCAAATCAGCGAGAAACAGGAAGTGAGAAAACCCAATTTAGGACCCTTTTGCCTCTCAGAGTATGAGCATTTCCCCAGTCTGAGTGGAACTCTAACCTTGAAAAATGCATATTTTTATACATATTTCTCCTATACACAAGCCAACGACTTTACAGTGATCAGTTTCAACCCTGGAGAGAATGCTGGTTGAGAAATCATAATTCTAATGACAGAGTGTTCTCCTGAGAGACTTTCAAAACCAAATTTGGCCATAGGAAATTGTTGCCTCACACTGGATTTAGAATCAAACCTCCAATGAAAGATGCAACCTCACAATAAAACCAAAAGATAAAAGTTGCATGGAGATGATTTTAGATTAACCTAAGGAAGAAGTCTCTAATAGCTAACTTCTTCAGGAAGTTAAGGTGGCTCTCCCTTGCATCAGAAATGTTTGAACAGACACTAGACACTAACTTTTCTGATACATTGCAGATGAGAGAGACTCAGGAATTCGAGCCGAGTGGTCAAATCAAAATTAGAACAAATCTAATTGGCCTCTTAGAATCTTGGAATTCTGAAATTCTGGGATACCAGACTCATCCCAAGTCCATGATTTAGCTCATGTCACATTCTGAGAGCCTGTCCATTCTTCTTTCTTCAGATCCCCCTTCTTCTGATCTTTTGAAATCAACTACCTCTCTCAAAAAACATTTCCCAATTCATCTCTGCTTTAGTACACTGGATGGTGAGTTATAGGTACCCAGGAATGAGAACCTTTGCAGCATTATTAATGGTACCTGCATTTGCTCTTATTCTTCTTTTTCTTAGTCCATGATACTCATTTTACATGGGACTTTCACTTTTTCCTGATGCTAAATCTTAAGAAATCAAGATTCTGGTTCAGATGGTTTCATTATATGGGGATGTTTTTATGTGATATTTATAAACCAAGAGAAACTCTCACTGGGAGGAGAGAGTTCTGGGTTGGAATTATCTATTGCTGCATAAGAAACGATCACAAATTTAGTGGCCTATAACAACAAATATACAAGTATATATTTGTTCTAAGCTGGAGCTAGGTGACTCAGATTTGGGGATGACTCCTAGAGGCTGAAATCATCTGAAGGCTCAATCCCACACATGACTGGTGAGTGATGTAGGGTGAAAGGTAGGACCACAGCTGGATTGTCAACTAGAGTACCTACATGTGGCTTCTCTCTGTGGCTGCTTTGGCTTCTTCACGGCACAGTGGCAGGGTTCCAAGAGCAAGTGTCTTAAGGAAACCAAGTAGAAACTAGGTCAATCCCTTCCTGTGGCTAGCCTTGGAAGTCACATAATTGTACTTGTGTCAGTCACAGACCCTCTCAAAGGAGTGGACACAAACTTCTCCTCTGTGTCAGAGGATTGTCAACATAATGTTTCGAGAAGTATACATGTAATGGGAGAAGGCTCAGCAGCCATCTTGAAAAGTTCAAACTATCATGAAATGGATAATTTAGAAACAAGAAGACTCCAAACCTGCTCAATTTGATTATTTGCATCCTCTATTATATTAGAAAAACTGCATATGCTTCATCTCCTTTATTCTGACATTATTTTTTATTATACTTTAAAAAATATTTTTTTAATTTATTTTTAGAGGAGGAGGACGAGAAGGAGAAAGAGTGGGAGAGGAACATTAATGTGTGGTTGCCTCTCATGTGCCCCCTACTGGGGACCTGGCCTGCAACCCAGGCATGTGCCCTGACTGGGAATAGAACCAGCGACCTTTTGCTTCACAGGCCTGTGCTCAATCCACTGAGCTACACCAGCCAGGGCTATTCTGACATTATTCTTGAATGCATGTTTCAAAAACCTATGTTTTTTCTTAAGATGACATAGCTACTTTATTAAACAGATGCAAGGAAGGTAAAATGGGTGCCTGAATTTAAGATAAAGTTATGCACAGACACAAATTCAATTAATCATTTGTTGTGGCTACATCAAATGACATCTCTACCAATACTTGTATTGTAAGGAACTCTTTTCTTCCATGCATGGAGATAGTTGGGTTGTGTTGATGCTTACCACTTATCGTCACCAGAGTAAGCATGACCCAATCCCTTGCGTCAATGAGCACAGAGCACATGAGAAAGGAAGATTCTTTCTCGTTGGGGGGAGGAAAAAAGGAGAGAAGGAGGGAAGAGAGGAGAGGATAACAAGGGGACAAAAGGGGTACACTGCCCTAGGTACTTTGACATTGAATTCTCCCTATGTAGACATGCTGCTACTATTCATTTTTGGTATTTCTCTAAGTAAAAGTCATGATGTGGTGAATGTCGTGACATGCATGTGATCCTGAAGCATCATAGATGTCAACAAAACTAAAACATGTTTAGACAACCTTTTCTCTGAAAGCTATTCCGAAACTGACAAAGGGTAACTTTTTTTTGTAAAGAAGCATGTCACTCTGACTGCCCAACAAAACTATGACAGCTGGAATAGCATCTCTAAAATACAAGTTATGGTAGTGGTCTATTCTAGAATTGTTTCTCTCTCCCCTGCTTTCCTCAAGAAGACAAAACACTTCCTTACCTCTCTGTTCCCCAAAGCCCATCTGTCAGCCACCACTGGCAAATTTGCTTTGCTCTTCTGAGTTCCTATTATGGCAGATTCTAGGTGGCGAGTTCGGTGGGCATGGCAAAGGAGTGGAGGAAGCCAGCTGCTCTCTCATCTACATTTAGTTTAGCAGCCCACTGATTGAATCACCCAGGTTGAGAGATACTGATTTAAAATTCCCTAATAATGCAACACAAATCATCCCAAATTTGTAATGGGTCCTATACTCCCTTACAGGGTTCAAAGGTTCAAGGGAGGTTTTAGTATGATAAGAGAGTGTTAGGTTTCTTCTCAGAAATATTTGGAAAGTTAAATAGTTTTTTTTTTCAGGCTCAGACTGCGGATCAGGAATATGCATAAATTTAGTACAAAAAGGGAGGGAGTTTCCCTCAGGGAAAGGTCTTTGCTCAAAATCCCAGTGGTCAGCTGGAATCAGACCAAACACACACCTTGGGAAATAGGGACATTAATCTGTCTGACTTGTGGGTGTGAGATGATTCTTTAGAGGCTGAGGGACAATGAGGTAACCAGGAATGAAGAGGAATGAAGGCAGATTTGTGAACAGAGGGAAAATCAATAAAACGCATAAGAATGATGGGTTTCTGCTTACTGAGAACAAACAAGGGGTTTCTGGTGAGATGGATTCAGACACAGAAGAACCTGAAAGAGGGGTGACATATAAGGCCAGATAGGAAGGTTGTACTTACTTTTGTTATAATGTAAGGATTTATTTTATAAGGTGTTAGATCTGATATTGGGGAGTTGATGGAATTCTCAGCAAGACATTCTTCCAATGTGGGCTGCATTTGTCTAGGGAGAGTTGCTATCAGTACAAGCGAGTACCCCCCAAATAAATACAACCTGGGGTGGTCTCTGGGCACCCTCCCCCTCCTCCCTTCTAAGAGTTGGGGGCTTCTGATAGCTGGCAGGCCTCCCAGCTAAGAGTCATGCGTCCCTGCCACCCTGGCAAATTTACAAGTAAGCTGTGGCAAATTTACAAATTTACAAGAGTGCTGCAGAGCAGGAAAAACACTGGCCTAGAGGGATGGCGGAAAGTTCTG